CTGCACACAGGGAAGGACCAAAGGAGACAAGGTACCGACTTCCCTGCCCGCCTCCTAGACCATCCCTGCCCCCCAAGGCCAACCCAGTGCATGGGGTCAGTGGGGACCATGCTTTAGTGATGACAATTCCCTCTTGGATCATGAAAGACATTAAGAAAAAGACAGCACGTATGCACCCTCTGCGGGGCAGCTCTGGCCCCAGGAAGTGGCTGTCATTCTGCCCATCTTCGAGGTCGGAAGCCTGTAGGTCAGAGACTTGCCTGTGCTCCACATAAAGCCCAGTCACATGGCACAGAACTGACCAGGAATCCCCAAGACTCAGCCCAGGTTAGGACCCCACCAGCAGCAGCAGGGGCAGACCCACCAGGGCCCCGGTTTCTACAGGATAAGGAGCATTTATTCCGATGAGCCATGTCTCTTCCCCACTTCACAAAGCAGAACAAATGCAGGTTGGGAGGTGACATGAGCCCAGTAGTTTTCCAGTCTCAAAACGTGATGGAAAGGCTGCCTCCAAGACAAACCTGGTCCCGCTCCTTTAAGAGCCACAGGTTGGAACCCTTGAGACACAGATCTGGCAAACTGCGGGGCCTTGTGTTTCAATAAGTGACCTTTCTGTTGGCGCTAATTGAGAAGGACTTGCCTTGATGCCAGATGTGTGAGGCCCTGCCAGGGAGCGGGGAGGGGCCTGGGCCTGCTCCTTCCAGTAAAAGGCAGGCGTTTTTTGGCAGCGGTCAGTTTAGAAGCCTGGTTGCTATTGTAAATCATAAGCTGATTATTGCACTTGTTCTTAAAATTTCCCAAAGTTGTTCCAGCCAAGCTGTGAGTTGCAACACGATTGTGAGTTAAGTTTATAGGCAGGAAGACCCCTCAGCTCTTGAGTCTCTGACTCCCACTGCATGCACTAAAACCCCGGCACCACCAGGCGGACGAGGCTCCCTGCAGCCACGTGTCCTGGGCTGACAGTCACAGGAGTTAAGCCCTCAGCCCTGAGCAGACACGTGGTTTATTTGGTTTTCAGCAATTAACACCTTCACAAAGACTGAAGTTCGGTTTCAGAGTCACCTAAGTATTAGCAAAACCCCTTGGGTCTGGCAAACTTCTCCGCCTCCTATTCAGACGGCTCGCCAGCCACGGCTGTGCCACCCTTCCTCTGTCTGGGGCTCGCAGGAGCTGGGCCAGCCCCCGTGCCAAATGCTCAAGTTAACATTTGTGTCAGTGTTTCCATTATAAAGTGCTCTTTTCCCCCCTTCAAGAATATACAGCCCAACCGTAAAATTACCCTCAAGGCTGCAGGCTGGCAGACCCGGTGTTCTGATTTCCTCTTGACGGGGGGCTGCGGGACCCCTGTTGATGGGCACCTGACGGGCACAGGTCTCCCCGTCCGGCATGACCGACATGGGAAATTGAGGGCGGCTCTGCTCAGCCACTGGCGGCAACTCCTCATCAAGTGCAGGGACTCAGGCTAAGACGACTGCTGCTGGGCTGGGGGACTGTCGGCCTCAGCTACTCAGAGAAAATCTAGAACGTGTGGTGAAAGGACCTGGACCCGACAATGCAACTGGGCCTGGGTAGGGGGAAGAGACGCAACTTTAAAAGGTTCCATTTCGCAAGCTGTCAATCTTGATGACCCAGCAACCAAGGGAAGGGAGATGAGGAGGCATGCACAGTCGCGGGTCACGCCAATGCAATGCAACGTGTTCGCCCAATTCTAAAAATCCTTAGTAACACTTTTTAATATACAAGAATCAAAAGTACAGCAGTTTTACAATGTAGGAAAATTTAATACATACTATATAAACAACATTATTTACATCAGAAATCACTAGGACAGTGGCATTTTTCACAAATATAAATTAATTACTGTTTAGTCAACAGGTTTTAAAAGTCCACAATTTTACAATAAAGAAAAACCATCTGTCCCCAACCGAGTGGGACACAGATGGACTAAAGCAGCCTGGACCCTTGGCCTGGCTCTCCTCGCCCGACACGGCAGCCCTCGGATGAGCCAGAGGAGCGAGCGCTGGCGCTGGGCCCCGGGCCACCGCTCCTGCTGACGCACTGGTTTTGGTCTGTAGGATTTCAGTGTCACTGTGTGAATTCATAACTGAATCGTGTTTGCACCGCGCACCCTGATGCGGCTCTCAGACATCAGGCTAGAGTGTCTGCAGCAGGACGTGAGAAGTGTTCTGGGTTCCCATCAAAGAGCGTTAAGGAATGCCTAAAAGGAAGGGGAGCCTGGGGCCAGCGACAGATGGCGGGGACGAGTCTGGAGTTACCGTTTCCTCTGCCAGGACTAGGACATACACGTGAATCCGGGTTTCTGTTCAGGTTCCGGGTTCTGTTCAACTTCCCTCTTCCTCAGTCCCTGCTCTTTCTACCTAATAACTAAATCTTTCAAAGCTAGGCTCCATGGAATACATCCTCACAGATCCCGGGGGCAGCTTCTCCCATCCACAAGTGAGAGAATTCCTACCTGTGCAAATTTCTGGTTTTGATATAAGCATACAGTATTCATACTGATTTAGGACAATGAGGAAATGCCTCCTTTCTCCCAACCCACCCTTCAAACATACTCCGACACCTAAAATAGATGCTTTTATGGGGATACTGTACTTTTCATAATCAATTTAACACTGACCTTGCTGACACTGCCTCTGGCTACATCATATGGCACTAAAAATCCTGAATGTGAACAAAAGAAAGTTCCTTTTTCCTCATGATGAGACAGCTTTGGGAATGACTCACATCTCCTACCAACAACTTCAGGGGAAAAAAAAAAAAAAACCTTGATGAGCACTGAAATGCAGGCCCTCCAATTCCTCCTCCTGGCCTCCTCCACCTGAAAGGACATGACCCAACTTCCCACAGGGGAAGCCGTGCTGGGGCCCACCCTGCCCACCTCCAGGGCCCGTGGATGGCTCAAGGATCTGCAAAAGCCAGGTTGCCCGTCCCCTTTGGCCTGAGCAAGACAAACACAGGTAGTGTCAGTACTGTTGGCAAGGAGCCCAACCCGTGGCCAAAGCAGAGGCATGATTTCCTATCTTCCCCCACGGAGCAGTCTCACATGTCCTCACTGGGGTGACGGTGGCCGGGGGCTCCTCTGTGGTCCCTTGGGGCTGTGCTCCGGGCACGTGTCGTACAAGCCCAGGGTGAACGACGCCAAGTACCAGGAGGAGAAATAGATCAGGAGGTGGTGGGCCCACTGAGCTCCCCTCACTAGCTGTGCGGACCCAGACTCTCATGTGGACCTCAGCACAGGCGAGCCCAAGGACGCTCTGGGAAGCAGTGTGTGATGGCCCCCCAAAGCCACCTCTGCTTCACTGGTGAGGCAACAGTAAAGGCATTAATGGTGCTGCCCAGGATACCAGCATGTAAGTGATAATGATTTTATGAAGTCCCCTCGGGTTAGTGCGGGGAGTTCAACCCTGTATATGCCCAGTGGAAGGGTTTCCAGCAGCTCTGAGCCTGGACACGTATAGGCACACTGTATGTTCAAGTCAGTTATTCTGTCTCCATCTAGAAAGGCCTTTGGATACTCTAACAATTACTGGCAAGTTATATTTAAAGTGAACAGAACGGAAGGCCCCAGAACCAGTAAAATGAAAGGAGCCTCCTTAACGAATGTAACCAACTTGCCTCCCATCCTGACTCAATTCAACTCTAGTCTGACTCTCACTATCTACAGCTCAGTTACCCTGTCCTTGGATATTTCCTGTTGTGGGAAAAAAAAAAAAATGAACTGAGGTTTACACTTAACTTGATTTCGTTCTAAAAGATACTGAGTTCAATTCTAATGATCTCCAACTAGCAGTGGAAACGTGTTCACCACAGGCAACTTGTGTCTGTCCACCCACCACATGAGCGGCAGGAGATGTGTGACTGCGGAATCTTACCTCTTCAAGCTGGGCAAAGGCAAGTCCGACGCAGCTGTGGATGGTGACCAGCTGCCATGCTGGCCCTCCCCCACTTGCCACACTACCAACCCCCAGGCTGGGAAACCCATCCGCCCCTCCCCCACAGCCCACCCTGATGCTGCCAGCAACCAGCTCATCAGCAGGCCTGCTCCCTCGGCCCCCTCCTCGCCAGGCCCAGGACCGTTACCGCTCATCCCAGGAATCGGAATCCACCAGGGATTCCAGTGCCCTGGCCACACACACCCAGCCCTCACCTCGCCTGCCCTGCGTGCAGCCCACTCCCAACCAAACAGGACCCACGCCCACTTCAATGCTGCCCAGCTCACAGTCCTCAGAAGTCAGCTGAACAGGCCCTACTTTCCCTGGCACAGGGGGCAAGCGAGGCCCACCTGGGAGACCAAACCTTTGAAATGTACAGTGTGGGAAAACTTAGTGTTGGTGGGGAAGCAGCCGCTGTGGAAGTGTTTCCCCCTCTGTCCCCCACGCCCCCAGCACAACAGGTGTCACATGATGAGGCCGTGTCACTTCTCCCAAGAACACGTTTGAGGGGGGTACCTGCTCCCCTTCAAGTCCTATGATGCGAGACCCCACCCGCTCGCCCCCGCGCCCCGCTCCCCATCAGCAGCATCTGTCACGTCATGGTGAACCAAACCCCGTGCTGTCCAGCAGGTCCCGGCAGCCTTCGTGCACACGCGCCTTCCCCGACCACGCGCCGAGGTCCAGGGCGCGCCAGCCCTGGTGATAAAACATTCACGACTCTAAGATCCTTTCTTCCTTCACTGGGGAACAGCCCGTGAAGCTGGTAGACAAAACGTCACCTCTTCCTCCTAGCACCCATCAAAGTGGGAGGCCAGGACAAGGCTGGAATGGGATGGGGTGCCCAAGTGCGGGAGTGGTGACCCAAATCAAAGCTGGACCAAGCGAAAGGCCCCCCCACTCCCTGAAGTGCTCCTTCAGCGGCGAGCTGACAGCAGCTGCGTGTCCAGAAACGCCATCACTGGTCTAGATAACTGGCTCCTGTGGATCAGACCAAAAACATCCAGGTGCTTAATGACTCTTGCACTCCCCTTCTTTCCAAACTGTCCTTTATGTTTTTCTAACATTCCAGTTATAATCTGGGTTGTTTTTCTGTTCTAGTGATCTCTCCAAAGGAGACCGATGATCCAGGGGTGACTTGGAATCGTGAGGAGATTTCTGAGAAGGGGGCGAGCGAGGATCTGAGACTGCGGGGTGCAGCGGGGGAAGGGGCTGTTTATACTCCCCTAATTTGTCTGTGTGGAAAGAGCGGTGATGGTCCGAGGGTCCCTGACCATGGTAGCCCATAGGGGGGCGGTGATCAGACATTCGTCGGAAATCCTGCTGGTGGTAATTTTGAGGCCTGAATTCATCGGATCGCCTCCGTTTGGAGTCGTGATGGTGCCTGAAACAGAGATGCAAGGATCAGCTGGAGACCAAAGCCGGATTCCCACCCCTCCTCCGTCATCCACTGGCTCTTCCTCATGCACTCATATTTAAGGACGCTTCCAGAAACTCAGAGGCAAATACTTATACATTACTAGGAATCGAAAAAAACAAAACTAAAGTAGTAACAAAGGGCTATTTTATACTTATTGGCAAAACACAGCCTATGAAATGACATAAGCCTCATCAGGTCTGCAGTGAAACAAGCACACACTTGAATCACTGATGGCTTTGTAAACTCACGTTCCCTTCAGGAAAACTGGCAAGATCTACAAACATCCTCATGTTCCTCAACCCAGCCCAGGAGAAAAAGAGCTACAGAAATTATTTTGTAAGTTATTAGTAACAACAAAAATTATAACCTAAATATGCAACAATACGTGCAGGGTTAATTAAATTATTTTAACACGTACTCAATGTGAAGAATATTAAAATTTTTAGTCAGGACCATGGCAAACTGCTTGTTATACTATTAATAGAGAATCTGTCTAAGTCAACAACAAAAAGACAAACAATACAATTCAAAAATGGGCAAAGGAGCTGAACAGACATCTCTCCAAAGGAGATACACAAATGGCTACTAAGAACATGAAAAGATGTTCAACATCTTTAATGGGCATTAATCACCAGGGAAATGCAAATCAAAACTACCATGAGATACCATGTCATACCCATTAGGATGGCTACATTCAAAACACTAAAAATAAATGTTGGTGAAAATGTGGGAAAATTGCAATTCTAACACATAGCTGGTTGGAATGTAAAATAGGTCAGATGCAGTAGAAAACATTTTGGTGGTTCCTTAAAAGTTAAACACAGGACTGCCACTGACTAACAATTCCAATCCTAGGTATATACCCCAAAAGCACTGAAAACAGATATTCAAACAAACACTTATATACCATGTTCACAGTAGCACTATTCACAAGAGCCAAAAGGTGGAAAAACTCTAATGCCTATCAATGGATGAAGGGATAAACAAATGTAGCATATGTACATACACTGGAACATTATTCACCCATGGAAAGAAATGAAGTACTGATACATGCTACAATGTGGACGAACCTCTAAAACACTATGGCAAATGTCAAAAATGCCAGTCACAAAAGGCCACATACTGTATGATTCCATTTATGCAAACTATCAAGACTAAGTCCACAGAAACAGAATGCAGAAGACTGGTGGTTGCCAGGAGCTAGGGAGAGAGAAGAATGGAGAGTGACTACTTTAGTGGTTATAGAGTTCTCTCTGGGGTGACCAAAGTGTTTTGGAACTTGACAGAGGTGGTGCTTGCACAACATAGTGAACTACTAAATGCCTCTGAATTGTTCACTTTAAAATAATTAACTTATGTTATGTGAATTTCACCTGAATAAAAGAGAGGGAGGGAGAGGGAGGGGGAGAGAGAGACTGTCCATGTTCCAGCCAAGATGGAGTAACAGGGGCTACACTTACTCTCCTGTTGAAACAATCAGAAAGGGACAAAATGTATGGAACAATGGTTTTCAAGACACCAGATGTCACGTAACAAAGAACCGCAATCCCTACGGGAAGAGAAACTAATGAGATAAGCCTTACAAGCACCGGCTCAGGAGAAGCCCAGACTTCCTGCATTGGGGTGGGGGTGTTCAAAGTGTAGAGTGCAAGAGAAGCAAGTTCTACAAAGAGAAAGAAGTTCAAAGACCAGCAAAGGTTCCCCCTCGAGTGTTCAGCTGGATACCGCTCAGGGTGTATATGTGAGGAAACTACCCAAAAGCCAGGAGAAAAAAACACTGAGAAGGATGAGACGCCAGTGCTCTGTGCTCACACAGAGTTGGAACAGTGCCTGTTCTCTTCTCACCAGCCAGACGGGGAAACCTCAAGATCCAAGGGGCACTGGCAGAGTACCAGGACGGTCCTGGCCTCGGAGACTTTGCCTGAGCACTGCTCCAGTCCTGCCTAACAAATCCGAACAAGATCCGAGAGAATCAAACTGTTTCCAAGTAACCTAACTGTGTTTCATACCACAGTTATTTTATAGGGATACAAAAATGTCCAACACTTAACTAGGTATCTAATCAAAAACTACCTGGCATAGAGAAATAATAGCAGAAATAAACAAATGGGACCTAATCAAACTTATAAGCTTTTGCATAGCCAAGGAAACCATAAACCAAACGAAAAGACAACCTATGGAATGGGAAAAAATATTAGCAAACAATGCAACTGACAAGGAGTTAATTTCCAAAATATACAAACAGCTCATACAACTCAATAACAAAAAAAACAAACAACCCAATCAAAAAATGGGCAGAAGAACCAAACAGACATTCCTCCAAAGACGACATACAGATGGCCAACAGGCACATGAAAAGATGCTCAACATCGCTAATTATCAGAGAAATGCAAATCAAAACTATAATAATTCTGACCTTACTCCGGTCAGAATGACCATCAATAAAAAGTCTACAAGTAACACATGCTGGAGAGGGGGGCAGAAAAGGGAATCCTCCTGCAACTGTTGGTGGGAATTTAAGTTGGTGCAACCACTATGGAAAACAGTACAGAGGAGGTTCCTTAAAAAACTAAATATAAGAGTTGCCATGTGATCCAGCAATCTCACTGCTGCACATATATCTGGACAAAACTATAATTCAGAAAGAAACATGCACCTCTATGTTCATAGCAGGACTAGTTACAATAGCCAGGACATGGAAACAACCTAAATGTCCACTGACAGATGAATGGACAAAGAAGATGTGGTACATACACACAATGAAATACTACTCAGCCATAAAAAAGAATGAAATAATGTCATTTTGCTGCAACATGGATGGACCTAGAGATCATACTAGGTGAAGTTAAGTCAGAAAGAGAAAGACAAATACCATATATCGTTCATATGTGGAATCTAAAAAAATGATTCAAAGGAACTCATTTACAAAGCAGACAGAGACTCACAGACACAGAAAACAAACTTATGCTTACCAAAGGGGAAAATATGTGGGGGAGGAATAAATTAGGAGTTTGGGATTAGCAGATACAAACTACCATATATAAAATAGATAAACAAGAAGGTCCTACTGTATAGCACAAGGAACTATATTCAACATCCTGTAATAAACCGTAATGGAGAAGAATATGAAAAAGAAGAGAACCAGGAAAATAAGACCCATAATGAGGCAATAAATCAATCAGTTGAAACTGACCCAAATCATAGAATTAGCAGACAAGGATAGAAATACCATGTTGAAACTGTATACCAGATTTCAAAAGGTCAAAGAGAGACATGGAAGATTAAAAAACAAAAAAAAAAAACAAAAAAAAAAGGACCCAAATGCAACTTCTAGAGATAAAACTACAATGTAAGAAGTACAAAATATACTATCAATAAATGGGCCTCGAGGCAGATTAGACATTGAAAAAGACAATATTAGTGAACCTGAAGACAAAGCAATAGAAACTTTCCAAATGCAACAGAGAAAACATAATTAAAAAAAATAAGCCTAGCATCAGTGAGCTGTGAGACAAATTCAAGCAGCCTACCACAGGTGTAACTGAAATCTTCAAAGGAGAGTGGGGGAACAGAAAAAAGTATTTGAAGAAATAATGGTAAAAAATTTTCCAAATCTGATAAACTGATAAAGGTGCAGATCCAAGAATTCCCAAGCACAAGAAACATAAGGAAAAATATACCATGGCACATTATAATCAAATTGCTAAAAACCAGTGATGAAGAAAAAGACATATTATGTAAAGAGGAGTAAAGATAAAGATGACAGATTTTTCATCACAAACAATACAAGTAGAGAATAGAGGAACATCTTTAAAGTACTGAAAGGAAGTGTCAATCTATAAATTTATACCCAAAAGAAAATATCTTTCATAAGTGAAGACAAAATAAAGATTTCCTCAGACATACAAATGCTAAAAGAACGTATCACCAGCAGACCCACAGTAAAACAAAAGTCCTCCGGGCAGAAGAGAAATGATACAGAATGGAAATACAGATCTACACAAAAGAATGTAGGGCAAATGCCCACTGGAGTCAGATAAGATGGTACAGAAGGGTGGGGGGTGAGGGGTACAGACCCCTCCTAAAAGAGGCTGCTGCTACTCGCCACAGCTGCTGTGCTAAAGCAGCCTGGTGTTACCAGATCCTCCAAAAGAAGGCAGGACATGGAGATGTTTATATGAAATTTTCCTATATTAATTTCAAGGGGCAGTCAAAGCATGTCTTTAGCCTAGGGGAAACCAAAGTTGCTAGGAAGCTAAAATACAGCTAAGTCCTGAAATTAAGAAGAATAGATAAAACCTCTTCAGCCCTTCCTGTACTTGCTAACTCTCACAACTACTCTCACAAAACCTTGGCCCATCATAACATGATATTATATGGCTGTAGAGAAGGGACAACTTCAAAAGACTTTGACTGCTAAACTGTGGGCTCCTAGCATGAAAGGACCACAGGCTGGTACCCACCTAGTGTGGCCGACAGCATAGCACAGAGCTTAATCATTTTGGTTGCAGACTCTAATACTTTATGGCTACCACTTCTCTAGATTTCCTCAGAGGACAGCAGAAAACTCCCCCTGCACAAGTGTGATGATGAAACCATAAATGGCTCCTTGGCCCAGAGAAAAAAACTTAAAACCTGTAACCTGGCATTCAAGCCCCACCCCCACATCCAACCTGTTCATCTTCTGGGCATCCCTTCCTGGGGGCCTATCCTTGGCCTGGGCCTGTGATGCCTAGTCCATCTCTCTCTGCTTAGCTGACTCTCCAGGGCCCAAACCAAGAATCGCCAGCCTCCCCTCTTCCTCAGCCCTCAGGAAAAACTCAAAAATCCATTCTTTCAACCGTCCACTCAGCACACAATGTCAGCTGCCTACATCATGATTTCTCCCCAACACTCTGAAGATGCCCTGACGGCAGAAACACAGCACCAGACTTGGGACCATGGCTGGCACATGGTAAGAATAAGCATCTGATGGATAAATACATTAAGTTTCTGTTGCTTTTCTCTCCACCTATAAATAGTAAGCCCCTGGCAGAGGTCAGTGCCTGGTGTCTGAGGGCCCTCTGCATACCGGTCATAATAATCCCTGTGTCCCCGGTGGTCTCGGTCACTGCTGTACTGGTCATAAGGTCTCTTTCTGGACAGGTTGTTGGGTCGGTAGCTCCCTGAACGGTGGGCGTCCATGTGTCGCCGGTCCCCATAATGGTGGTCCTTGTACCAGTGCTGCTCATACTGATGGTGCCTGTCACCACCCCAGGGTGGATTGTTATTGCCACCACCATAGTTGAACTTTCTTTCCCTCTGCCAGTCGCCTCGATCTGCAGAAAGAGAAATAATGATCTCATGATTCCAAGAACTGGCTGCATTTCACTTCCACTAAAGTTTCAACTGAAAAGGCCGACACATGTTACAAACACTACATTTCTTCCTTCTTGGCCTTTTTGCTGCTGGTTATCATACAAGTAATGAGTCCAAAATTCTTTACCTAAAATTTTAAGGCAAACGAAAATTCACCTTTC